ACTCATACAAACTGTATAGTGATAACTATAAATATATATTTTATATTTGTTCTTAAAAGAAGCTGTTTTAATAGGTACTATCAAAATGAACATTATACTACATTTATAAAAATTAATAATATAGAATTCTAATTTTGTTTATCAATTTCATATATCATTATTATATTTTTTGTTATTGTGTATTGCGAGTACTATGAAAAATATGGTTATTTAAAATATATTATAATACGTAGAATATAATTTAAATCTAAAATCTGATAATAATATAAATTATGAATCAATCTTTAGTCAAGCAGGTATGTAATAATATTGTAATGTGTAAGTGGGATTTATTGGCACGGAGCTTGACAGTGGTTGCCGGCACCAGAGTTGAATTTCTAACAGCGATGAAAAGTTTATAAAGTTTTGGTTATAAAATAGGTTGGTATTAAGCTTCGGGTATTAAAGTCATGTCTAAGATTTTGGCGAACCTTTCGCAATACGTTTGTGGCTTAATGCAACAATTTAAAATTTATTCAAAATCGGTGATTGGCAGAGATGCTGTACTGGTAATGGTTACATAAAGAGACCTAACCTAATGCGATAATCATTGTAATAAAATTTTTATGAAATTACATCTAAAATTTAGTTTTGTTTGTCAGGTAAAACTGGTAATTACACTGGTTCGTCATCGATCGATCAAAAAAATGCTTATCTTTAATGTTTAATGATTATTTGTCGGTCGACACAATATTATGCTGAACCAGTAAAATATCGGCATATAAACAATTTCAATGTTTACAAAGGGCGATTTTGAAAAATAAAAAATGGATATAATACTTAATATCGTACGCGTATAAATATATATGAAAAAAAAGTACGAAAGATATTTGTTTTATTGTTTATATTTTTACGTGTTAAGACTTGATATAATTCTGCGAACCAAAATTATATTTAATTCTACAATTTTATCCTCAGTGATAATAATTCAAAATATAATATCTCATTTTTAGACTAAATGTCTAAAACTTTAAAAAGGTGAGCTATAATAATAAGTCGTTAAAGGCACAATTTCTTTTTTTTTTTGGCTGTACATTTTCTGAGAATTTCGATTAAATTCACATAAATATTGCTATACGTTCTACTGATAACCACAACGTCAACTAGCGTGTTGATACTTTTTATTCGTATTCCATTGTCGAAGTAAGTATTATACACTCTCGGTCACGTTCCTCGCCCAACACGAATATCAACCGGTACAGTCCCCGCCACTGCCACCAAGTCCTACATCACAAGATGCATCATTGGTTGGGTAACCCCCCTTAAATGTTTGTGTATGTACATAAATATTATTTGTATGCAAAGTATTAAACATTATAATTTATAAGTACCTATATTATATTCCTATAGATCATGTACGAATATAATATATTTTTTTCGGCTGTATATAGGCACACCTACCATATATTGGTACAATATTACCAAAAAAAAACAACAATAAATAACTAATAATACGATTAATTACTTATCTATATCATATAGCATTGAAACGAGTAGCATTATAAACTCTGTTTTTTTATAAATACGTTAAAATCATTTTAAATGTATAATAAATAATAACATGTATCTTATATATATACCTATTTATCAAATAAACAAATAAAAATATTAAAAAATATTAATTTTATATTACTGTTACTAACAAATTTTGTAATATCAGAACTTGTAGGTTAAAATTAAAAATACATTTTTTTTTTTTTAATTTGTTCTATAGAATTAGTCAAGTACAAAAAAAATTCATAAGAAAATTTAAAATTTAATAATATATTAACTAATTTACTATTTTTATATTATTATCTATAAATAATAAATAAATATGTAAATATTCAGTTTTATCATAGATAAGCACAGTTTTAAATGGATTGTATAATTATTCATATTTTTTACAGTATTTATTCATTCATTGCAAATAGATATCTATTTAATATATCGAATAATTTATATTCAATTAAGATTATTGAACTAAATACTGTGAACTAAAAAAAAAAAAAGAAAAAATGTATTTTATTATAATTTACATACATAATATCCATTCATATTTTTTAGTATTTATTTATATTGATATAATTTAATTTTTGTGATGTATATATTTACTGAACTATAAAAAAAAACTAATTAAAAATGAGATTTAAGTAACTTTATCAGTCTATCTTTAATTAATGTACTAACAATATTAATTTAGATCTAGATAAAATTAATTTAATCTTTAATATTAATATCAATTGATATAAAGCAATAATTAAAATATATAGAAATACGCAATAAATTATATTAATTTTTTGTCAAACTTCTATTTTAATACAATATTTAATAGAATACAAAATAAATAATGATATAATTCTAAAAGAAATTATAATTTAATTTATTAGACCTACCTACTTACTATTCATATACTTTATAGTTTATTTTTTACTTAAAGCACCTATGATCTATTTATAAACAAATTGATAAATATTAAGTAGGACTTTTCTAACAAAAATTATCATTAAAAAGCCGATATTCTGTCAACAAATGCAATAGATTTTCTACAATTGTGTTATTTGGCGGTAACTACATCATTTATGAATAGTACCTATATAAAGAGTATTCAATTTGATCGTTTGAATAATAAAACGACGATTTTTTTTTTCTAAACGGATTTACATCCTACCGTATCTCATACGTTTAAAAGTGAAGAGAAACGAAAGATATAGAAGGAGAAAGAGAGAAAGAGAGAGAAGGAGAAAAAAATTATTAAGTTAACGACGTGTAAACACGGGTTTTTATTGACGGTAATTGGTCGGAGCGCCGTGGCCGAGGCAAAAATATGGTCGAAACCAGGTCGTAAAACAGTCTGTGCACAACGACCTAAAGTGCCGAGGAGCGTGCCGCCGTCGCCGCCGCCGGTTTGCACGCGTGTGTATATAATGTGGATATGTGTGTACACACACGCGTATGTGTGTGATAAAATCACATACACTCCCCCTTGTACATAAATTAGGCATGTTTATGATGTGGTTTTTTCTTCAAAAAACTCTTACTATGACTACCGACGTGCTTTCTATGTTTCCTTATTTTCGATCTTTAAGATGTTTACGATTTCCGTACACAATCATGAATTGCCCGCAATATGTCAAATATTAATTTTAATTTTCTATACATCCGGTCCCCGACGTCTTGGGCCAGTTAATCATATAATACCGGACATTATATCCCATAAATATATACACATAACATACACGATTGTTGTTAAATTGAGCCATTAAAAAAAAAAAAAAAAAAACGGTCGTAAATATTCGGCGTGCGGCTACTGCTGTACCTTCACAGTAGATAGTTTGGTTTATAAGTGTGCTCTCGGGCTGCCGCCGTCGTCGCCACCACCGTTGTTTATGATCCGTACGGTAATTAACCTGTGCGCGTGATTGAAATCGTTAATATAATGGTCTCTCGTGTAAAATAACATCAGATATAGCCACTATCACCGCACTGTACTGTGTCGCGAGACATGATTTTTTTTCATATATATATACGTTAACTGTTCACTGCTCACATGTTATTATTATATACCTATAAGTAAATTATCTTTCTATTTTTCTACCCTGTACCTTTTTTACCACAAACTATGCAGTAAAGTGAAATGTTATTGTATTTTAATTAAAAAGTTCTACTAAATAATATAATTCATTTACAACTATTTTATACTCTCCTATAGTTTATCATCTTGAAATGTATAGTGAGTTCATGTTGATAAAATACTATGCGGTATTTATTTATGCACCTGTTATAAAGTACAGATTTATATGCATATTCTTATAAAATATGCATTGTTTTTATTGTAATGATTATTAAGATTAAATAAGTATATTTAAAATAATTAATAATATACCAACTATTTAATAATATTAAATTTGACAATATTAGATATAATTCACATTATTTTTAGAAACAAATAAAGCACTGAATATATTGTACATATCTTATAATAATATGCATAAAATAACAACAAAACTGTTCTGTTTATTAACCTACGATTTGAAATATTTTAACGGTTTCCAAAAAATCTTACGAAGCAAACATTAATTATGTTATATATAATATTTTGTATTCGGTTATAAAACCAAACTCAAACAACTAAGCATTTACTTTATTAATTTAAAAATATAAAAATAACTAGATATAAGTATATAAGTATGTCTTGTGAATAATATGTTCTGAACCCCAATGTTATTTTGTGGTAAATATACTTAATGCATATTTAAATTAAAAATTATTTGACGAACTTAGAAATAAATTACTTAAATAAGTATAATAAAACTAATTTTTTTTTGTTTGAGGTACAGATATATTTCCAAAAGTTGTTCATTGGAAATACATTGAAATTGAATAATGAATCATAGATTGAAAAATTTAATGCGTTTTAGTCAGTTTATAGTTTTATGCTCGTATACCTACTAATGATTATCCATACAATTATATCAAAGCATTGAAACAAAAATATTAAATTTGATTTATTCAAAAATGACGCAAGAAATCATATCAAATTATTATTATATATTATATGGTATAAAGTTAATAATTAACTATTATTCTGTTTTAAGACACTGAAAAAATACTGATTTATAAGAATTTAAGTAAAATATAATTTATGATTACGGCAAATATTACGATAAACTTAAATTGTACAAATATATATACATGCATACCTTATTCCATATATCTATTTACCTATTTATATTTTACATAAATTGTGATATGGTCATCTAAATCTTTACATAAATTACGAATAGTTACGAATACCTGCACAAAATATATCTCATTTATTTTTAGACTATTTTAAACTCGAATACAAAAAAATATGTATTTTCCTAATGAACAATCGATACAAATAAACGTAACGAATAATATACGAAATTTGCAGGTAAACGCATACATCTATATTAGTTAGTTATGTATTATATGATTCAAAATGGTTTATCACTCACCGATTTTGTTGGTCCTGAGAAATCTTTTGAATGGCGAGTAGACGTCAATATAAACTGTGTTTAAAATAATGTGTGTTTTGATAAAAATAAAAATAAAATAAAACAAAACAAACAAAACAAAAACCGCGGAGATTTAAGTGATTATATAGTGATGGTTAAAAAAAATAAAAATAAAAATCGTTTCAACAAAAATCGAATACCGTACAACGAAAAACTGTGGCGGTTAAGACATAAAACAATCGGTGTTTGGCATGCATTTTTTTCGACGCGATTAAAAATACGATTTTTCGCGCGCTTGAATTGGTGTGTTTTTCAAAATACGTCCGTTTTGAATATTTTGGCGGGTCGGCGAGAACGGTGGAAAAATCAAGTACTTAAGCGTTAATAAACAGAAAACGAATTAAAATAATATACGACAGATACCGCGGTACATGAATAAAAATAAACAAAAAATAATGACGGCCGTAATATGTAATATTATAATAATAGTATAATATAATAATATTATAAAGAACCAAAACAAACGAAATAAAAATACAATGTACAGGAGCGGCGTGGAAATGGAACACGACGATATAAAAGCTATAAAGTGTGCTGTGTGTGTTATGGGCTCCAAAAAGTTTGTCCTTACAATAATGGGACGTGAATCGAAGTGTTGGGCGGGAGAATGGTTTACGGTCTCGGAACTGATAGAGAGCCCGGCCCCCTGTGCTACCGCCCGCCCGCTGCGGGACAGAAAATATAATTTATGCTTAAACATTTTGCTGTGAAACATTAATTTTCAATTAAAATCGTAATTATGCTAAAAATCCACAAAGCTAAATGAATTTAAAATAACTCCCAAAACTTCATAGCATTGTAACTTAATTGCTGTACTTTCATAGTTAAAAATATTTTATCCAATAATAACTGTAATACTTAAAATATTATTGACTCTATTTTGATAAATGTTAAATGGACATGGTATTATTGAAGTTTTATAATTAATGATAAATTAAATACTTACACCTTACATTATATTTCTATATAATGGTATATTCATCACATAATATAAGTTATAAATGTACTTAATACCTAAATTTTAAAAATTCTCAACGTTTAAATAAGTTAAATTATATAATATTTTTAATTATTTATATCTAATCCATATACAACCCTATGATTTAAAACTATGGTTAGTTACTATGATTTATAAGGTTACACATGTAAAGACAAACATTTGTTGAAAACATATTATATTATCAGTTATAAGAAATATAATCCATTTTATTTATGGTATACTAAAATAACTTTATCTATAGAATTGACATAGATGATATTCAAGCGATGATTTATAATATTTTTATTGCTATTATACATAGTTAAATTGTTGTTAGTTATTATATTTATTAATAATACAAACCTATTCAATTTTATGATTTCTAGTATAATTGTTCATAGTTTTTGTTATCATCACAATTATTATAGATCTAAATAATTAATGATTTATAACACTGAAGCTTATAACAGCGTTACAACAATAATTATTTATGGGCAAGCGTTGTATTTAATGAGTAATAGTTAGTTATATTACGCGTTTATTCGTATAAAATAATATTTAGCATTTAAATACGAAAAGGACTTAAAACTTAATTACTACCACAATTACCTTGTTCATCGACATTGGTAGAAATCATTCTAATTTTTAAATATTAACTGTACTGAGCTACTTATCTATCTTGATAGGTATTTACTGCAAATGCATCAGGAGCTGAAAAAGCATAAAAATACATTACTATTTGTTCACCTTTAACATAATACAAGAGATCCATGTCGATATTAGTAGCAATAGGTATTTAATATTACGACCCCAATAGAATTTAAGTCAAATAATATTATAATGTTCAAATAACTCAAGTAACGTAGAACAGGTATACTGTATTAATATAACATGTACAGTGTACAGTATACAAAATAATAATAAGTAATAACACACAAATACCTAGGTATTAAATACAAAGCTTGTGGTTGGAGTTATAATCGATTTTTCGATACACAATTAAAACAACAATTACTAATAATTATTAAAATAAAAGAGAAAATCTATTTAACTTAGTACAAGCAATAAGTAGGAATTATTAAATAATATCAATAGTACGGATCCATAATATAATGAATAACATTCTAAATTGGGATGATTGGCATGGAAAACGATAGACATAAGTTTCTATTAATGAATTCACTTGCTATTCAGTATTGCATGTCACACACCGGGTGGTTGTCCACTATATAGTCACAGTTAGTATATAATATATATATATATATATATAAGTAACGCGCGCTGCTACCAACGAATTAAAAATTTTATCTTTTTAAACTGAACGCTGAACAGCGAAGTATTTTCTGAACTTAAAATACTACTTATTATAATAATATTATATCAATGTTTGAAAAATCATAGAATAATTTTAAAATACTATGGTAATTATAAATAGTTTTAATATAAATTAAAATATTGGCACAATATTAATAATTAGGCAACTATTTTTACTTAATAATACTATTTTTAATCAGCTTTATCTTATTTCCTATTAAAAGTATTTTTATAAATTAAATAAATGAAAATATTAATATTTAAATTAGTACTAATTACGTTATACAAAAACATTTATATACATACATTTTAAATTTGATGATTTTTAAAAACAATTATCTTAATCAAATAATTTGAAAATAAATACATGGTTTTATTAAGTTATATCATTAAACATTAATTTAATTTAAATCCATAAAAATTTAACTCAAAATTAGAATTGAACAAAGATTTAATCAAAATTATTTTTGTTGAAATACAATATTTTTATTTTTATTTTTCATAATTATACCTACATAATTTATAAAGGAATACAAGGATCTTTAAAAGTATTTTTAAAACTATATTAAAATAATTTCTATTGACAGTATAATGTCAACAATTGTTTATGAGCGTTTATTGTAAATATTTACGACATTACAAGATATGCACTAATAAAATAATTATCAATCCATTACTTTTTATTATTTTATCATGATTCAATTATTTAAAACGAATAATAAAATGAATACTGTGTCACTGAAATTATCAAATAAATATTATCATTTTTAATCTATAATGGTATAATTTTTATAAGGATATTAACTATTTTGAATTATTTATTTAAAATTTAAATTGTTAACTTGTAGTTTTTAATGTAAATAAAATTAATAATCACTTAAATAAATTTTAAAAATTTAGTATATGATAATGAATATGTAATTTTATAACTGTTTATACAATAAGCATTAAAAATATGTGAAAACTTTTTATATATACATTTAAAGTTAAAATTTTGACGAAATTTGACAAAACACAAAATTTTCAAATTACGAATATTTGAGTTATAGTATATGAAATTTTAATTTTAGAGATTTGAAAATTTAATGCTATGTTTTGAATTAGTCATCTTAAATAAAATTCAATGAATATAGAACACAATTATTGCATTAGATATAATAAATTAAATTTGGACCAAATTATGTTTACTCCACGTATATTATGGATATATTACTATACGCAAAGACACTTTCATAATATATGTTGTCTAATTTAAGATAGTAACTATTTATAGTTTAATATAAACATATTTACTAATACTCAGATAACATGTTCTATAAACATATACACTGTAATTATTGGTAATCTTATTTATGATATTTATTTTAAATATGCTGTACAATAAAATTATACTATGTAGGTACTGAAAATAATTAATTTATTTTCATTTTTACCATTGTCGTTTCAATTTTCAAAATCTTCGACTGTGAATGAAGTCAAACGTATAATGGCACGACGTGGCAATAAGGAAGTACAATGTCCAATGTCTAGCTGAGTATATACGATGCTTCTATTTCTATTATTTTCCCTTAGGAGAGGGTAGTCTTGAAAACAGTTTGAAACACGCATATACTGAGGGAATTGATAAACACGTTAGACTTATGCGCTGGATGGTTTTATTGTAGTTTTCGGTTTACAGGATAACAAAAAGAAAATGACGCACAGTATAGAAAAGAAATACATATTATTATTTTAATGACTATCCAATATGTACTTTTATAGTAAAATATAGAATGGATAACATCTAGACAACTTATCTAAATTTGATAAGTATATGACCTCGTGTTAAACTTTTTACTTTTTAGAAAATATTTTATATATTTGTGTTTCAAAGCTTGGTTTGTTTAACAAAGTTTCATATGAACACACTATATATAGATAAATGGCCGTAAATTGGCATATAAATAATTGTAAAGACAAACATTTGCATTTTAATTCAATATAATTTAGCTAATCATAGATAGCGTTTTAACAGTTCTCAAGTAAATTAATATGAATAATGGGTCTTCAAACAGAATAATATAATATAGATACTAATATTATAATTTTTAGCTTTAAGTAAGTAATAAAGTAATAATAATGGAATACAGTAAACATAATTAATTTTAATTTAAAAAGAAAATATATTTAAATTACCATTTTGAATAAATAATAAACATGCAATAGTTTACTTTTGCAAAATTTCTTTA